GGCCGCCATGCTGGGTGCGGCGGTGACTGTCCAGATTCTCGCCCTGGGGCTGATCTCGGAGCGCGGACTTGATCTGAATCTGGGAGTTACACCAGTCCCGACATGTGCGGCGGCGGCTGCGGCGGCGGTTGCGGCGGAGGCAGCGGCGGGGGAGGAGGAGGTGGATGGCCGGGAGGCGGCCGCTGCGGTGCCCCTATCGGTTCAGGCGGCGGCGGGAGCGGCTCGGCCGGACGGGGAGGGCGCCTTGCCGTACGAGGGCCGCCGCGCAGTGGTCGTCGGCGGCGGGTAAGCGCGCCGCGGATGCGTACGCGATCCCACGCAGTTGATTCAATGATGACAAAATCCTGCCGGCAAACGACACCCTTCTGCAAGGGGTCTTGCCTCTCTGCCAGACAGCGTGCAGCTCTAGCGCTCCCCCTTGACGCAGCTGCCTCGCAGCTGCCGCCCGCCCCCGCCCCGCCTCGCCCCGCTGCAACGTCACCCCTCGGGCACCCGCCCCTCTTTCACCCCCTGTTTGCCCCTAGATCCTGATTGCTGCCCGCATCCCCCCTTGCACGAACCCGTGCAGCCCGGCAGGCGCGACGGCTGCAATGTACTTGGCTCGGGCCGGGTTTGCGGTTGATGTTTTTGAGCGGCTGCCAGAGCCGTCGTGCATGGCCGCGGACAAGCGGCGCGCCTACATGATTGCGCTGACTGAGCGGGGTCAGGTGCGCGGGCGTGGCGCTGACGGGTGTGTGCATGTGCGTTCGGGAGTGGGAGAGAGCGTGCATGAAAGCACGTGTGCGCCAGTGTGCGTGTTCCCTCTTTCCAACACTCCTGTGCTCCTTTGCACAGCCTCCTTGTCCCCTGCCCGCCCCATCCGCCCTGCGCCCACCCCTGACGTCTCACCCTTCCCCACTCTATACACCCCAGGCCGCCCTGACAGCCCTGGGCATCGACCTGTCCGCCCACGGCCAGGCGCACACCAGCGGGGCCATCTGCCTGCACACGGCCCTCGGCACCCACAGGGTGCGCCCCTCTCAAACCAGCAACCTTGCCAGTGTTGCTTCCCGCGCACCCGCTGTCTGCCCCGCCAACTCATGCCAAGCAAAAAAAACAGGGACCTGGGACTTGCGGATGGAATCAAATGTATGATCCCACGTCATCACAGTGAACGTCTGGAACACGGCCCTGCAGCCTTGAACGCTGCGCAGCTTGCAAGCAACCCAATGTGAACATCGATGAATGCGCAACCCCCACCCCACCCACCCACCCACCAACCCACCCTGTCTTGCACGCCCCTCGAAGCATCCCTCCTCTCCCATGTCTGCAGCCACGCCCTTGCTTTGCACACGTCAACCCCGCAACCAGACATCCTCCCCCCCCCTCAAAACAACCACCCTCCTCAGCTGTCGTGTGCCGAGAGCAGTGTCGGCTTCACTAGGGCGGATCTGACGCAGATGCTCATCGACGAGGCACGATCCCGCTACCCTCGTCAGATCACCTTGCACTTCGGCGCCAAGCTGGCTGGCGTGGACCTGGAGGGGCAGGTTGCGACGTTTGATGAGATGACATCAGCAGCACCCCCTGGTGACATCAGCAGCGGCGGCGGGGCGGGTAATTTGGGTGATGGTGTCGTGGGGGCCAAGGCGGAGGCAGCAGCGGCGCGCAACTTCCCTTACGACCTGATTGTTGGAGCGGACGGTGAGCTTGATGTGTGTCAGTGTGTGTGTGTGTGTGTGTGTGTGTGTGTGCGCGTGCGCGTGTGCGTGCGTGCGTGCGTGCGCGCATTTGCATGTGCGTGTACTTGTGCGTGTGCGTGTGCGCGTTTGCTTCCATGGGTTTGTGTGTGTATGTGTGCTCATGCATGAAGGGGCGTCAAGCCGAAGAGGTCGGGCGTCGGGTCACTGCCCAAAACAAGCGAATGCTAACTTGTCCTCTTTTATGTGAAGGACCTGAAATCCTGTGCTAAGCGCTTCGGTGTTCTGGGTGCTTTGGGCATGAACCCCCTGCCTAGCTATCCTTGCTGACTCGCACCACACCCGGCGCCCGCCCCGACACGCCGCCCCGCCGCCACGCCGCGACCCCAGGCGCCAACAGCCAGGTGCGCGCCGCGATGCAGGAGGCGGACCCGTCCCTGAGGGTCGACGTCGCCGACAGCGGCCGCGAGTACCTCACATTCCACTCGATCCCTCCTGCCCCCGGCATGGAGCCCCCATCTGGCCCCAGCCCCTCTAGCGGCGCCACGGCCACCACCACCGGCGGCGCCGCCGGCGCCGCAGCCGGGGCCGGCGGCGGCGCGGGGCAGGGGGCCGGGGCGGGGCAGGAGCTGCATCTGTTTGCGTCTGGGGACCCGCGGGCGATGCTGTCTGCCCACAGGAGCTGCAACGACCCCGGGTTCAGCGGCATGGTGGCACTGGAGGCGGGGGGATTCGACGAGCTGGTGACGCCGGCTGATTTCGAGGCTATGCTGAAGGCCAAGTGAGTGCTGCAACACAGCTGGTCGGCCGGCTGGCACGCCGGCCACCCACACGCGCTTGGGGCCGTGGTTCGTCGGCTGTGTGGGACGGACAGCTGTCGCTTGCGGCACCTGCGGACGGCTCGGCGGCATGCGCTGCCTCTGCGCGGGCGCCTGACGGAAGCCGTGAGCTGTTCTGCGCACAAGCGCCCCACGGTGGATTGGTTTGATCAAGCAAATTGCGGCTGAGTGCTTGAAGCCACGCGCTAGCCCACGGTCCCTGGACCACAGGCGGCCGCCCACCGTCGCACACGGCCCCGCACCTCCCCACCTCCCCGGGCCCTGCGGATCCCCTCTCCCTCGCCCTCCCTTTGCCCCTCCGCCCGCTGACCCGCCCACGCCGCATCCCTGAACCCCTATAACCCCTCCCCACACGCAGGTTCCGCCAGGCGCCGGCCGAGTGGGTGCCGCTCGTGGCCGCCCAGCTCTCCGCCGCCAAGGCCGCCGCCGGCCGTCCCAGCAGCGTCGGCAAGCGCATCCGCGTGTCGCGCCTCGACGGGCGGGCGGCGATCCTCGTAGGCGACGCCGCGCACGGCGTGACGCCCGTGCACGGCCAGGGCGCGAACTCGGCGCTCGAGTCGTGCGCGGTCCTCGGCGCCGCGCTGTCGCGCGCCGCCGCTGACGCCGCCGCGGCGGCTAAGGCCCGAGGGTCCGGCCTGGCACAGGCTAGAGCGGCCGCCGTGGCGGCGGTGCCCGCCGCGTTCGACGCCGCGCGGCGTGCCGACGCGCACGCGCTGGCCGCGCTCGATGAGAAGGCGCACGCGCTGTTCGAGAGCCCTTCGCTGTTCAACGCCGACTTTCGGGATATGGTCGGCCACGTGTCCCTCGGGCTGCTGTCCCGCCTGATGCCGGGCAGCTCAGGGAGAAAGGGGCCGCCCGAGCTTTTGCAGATCGGCAGCACGCTCCCTTACTCAGATATCGTCAGGGCGATGGACAGGGACGCGCGCGCGGCCAAGGCGGTCGGGCAGGCGCTGGCCGGCGCGGTCGCGGCAGTTGGGCTGCACTCGCTCGCGGGCGCCGCGGCGGCGGCGGCGGCGACAACGGGCGGGCTGCCTGGACTGTGAGCGGTCGGTCGGGCTGCCAGTCCGGAGGCGCGCCCAGCTGGTGACGTGCAAGGGAGACCATTCGCGTTCATGTGACATCTGATGTGGCTACTTGCGGTGGCTGATTGCGGCGTTGCGGTTGGACTTCAAATCAGGCATGTAGTATCAAAATTAAATGCCTGAGCGCATCGGTGGCAGTCTGTTGAATTCACTGCATGCAGCACCATATTTCTTGTTGAATCCTGCTGCACAACCAATCGGGACTGAAAAGGAACTTTGTTGCGAAGCCAATTACCTCTGAGGCTGTGCTTCCTGTTGTTAAAGGCAACCAACAATAGGCAGCATGTGTGCGTGCGTGTGCATGACATAATGATTGCGAACCCCTCTTGCGGAGTGAGGCGCCTTGCATCGCCGCCTGCCCCCAATAGCTTGGGCTGTTTGAACTTGAATGTGCTGCCAAACGAGACTTTGCAGGTGCAGTATTTGCTGGCTGACCCTGCAAACCGCCCTGACTGATGCTGCCGCTGCCGGGTAGCAGCGTGTCACAAGAAGGTGCTGCATGTCATCAATCGCTTGCTTGATGAGCCAAAATACGCATCTTACATTATGCACATCTTGTCGGCGCCCGCAAACTGCCATCAGCAGGCTGCGGCCTCGGCGGTTGTGATGCCAGAGCCGCGTCATGCGCCATGCACCACTGCAGGTAGCCTTGGTGTATATTAAAAGCAACCCCTCTGCAATGGGAATGCACGCCATCATTGCAAGTGAGACGCTGGCCTTATGCCTTTGGGCCGGCTGCCGATTGCCATTGTAAAATCATGCAGTGAATTCAAGCTGCCTATTTTGACAGAGAGTAGCAGAACAATGCTTCCGTACTTAAAGTGAAGACAAAATAAATGATTGGGTGCCTAGGCTTCCAGGGCGGGATCCTGTACTCAACACCCAGCTGGGGTTCGCTGCCTGTTCAGCAGCGCCTCTGGATGGATGAGTTTTATTAAGCGTTCGAGGGGTGCGAAGCTTAGATTGTGTAAAGGTATTATGACTTGTCATCTGTCACGTTGGAGGTCGCAGGCTTTCACAGGGCAAACGCAAGCGCAAGGGTTGTGCAGCTGCCCAGCAGCGGTTTTGACTACTAAGCACGCCTGCGGCCCCGCGGCTGCCGCGCCTTTGGCCGTGATGGTAATCTTTACATTACTTTATTATTCAGCTTTTTGTAAATGCGCTGTTTCGTTCCGCCTCCCTTCCACACAACTTTCTCGTCCCCGCCCGTACCTCTCCGCGGCAATCTGGTCGTAGGTCGCGCCCCGAAACACGGCAACTAAAGGCCAATTTTGATAACTCAACCAGAATCAATGTCGGCCGGTACGTTCGTATGCCTGTCGGCGGTCATCCTGCTGCTCGCGGCGCCGCTCGCGCGCGCTGGATACATCGTCGACATGGGCGCCCCCAGCGATGAGGAGGTCAGGTCAGCCCGCCTCGCTGATTTCAAGTCTATGAAGGCCCGGATCGCAGCCATGGTCGACGGCCCCTCAGACTCCGCCGCCGCCGCCTCAGCCGGCTCCGTCCGCGCCGCG